TTCAGAATGGCAAATGCTAATTCTAATTTTCCCATTAATTAATTAAAGCAGAGTAGCAAACTTATTTATTTAGGTGCTAACAGCTACATACTAAAAACTTATAATTCCATAGATTTCTTAGCAGCGTAAATTAAATAAATCCATTATGTAACTTATTTGAGACCCAATTTGTAATATATTATATACTTTATACCATTATTGATATTTAGACTTTGTACCTTCATATTGCGATTATTTTAGTTAATTAATATAAGTTAAATTAGAAGCTAGCAGCTAAAATGTATCCTGACTCGATAAATAAGTTTTTCATAATCTTTCCAGAATTTTAATTGCTTCATTATCTGTCCTATTACCTTATAAGTTACACAAAAAAAGTATAGGAAAGAAATAAAGACAATAGAAACCTGTGAATTCTCATCAAACTTTCATAAGAGGCTGAAATTAGCATTGGCTCAGAACATCGAGCTTTATTTAAAAGCAGAATTCTAAAAAAAGTCGAAATACAAATTTAACTCAAGTCGTATAACTAAAAGTATAGAGATAAGATATTAAATTCATAGATAAAAACTAGCTTTGCTTATAATTACACTTAAGTTTCGAATCTGCGAAGTAAATATTATTTTATGTGTAAATGAAGCAAACCAATATTTAATATTTTTTTGATCTCTAATGTCTACTTAATACTTTTTTTGAAGCTTACATAATATTAGGTCAATGGTATTATGTTTGTTTGCCTTGGGAAAATCAGGCCAAGTTGATGATAATGATATAATCTCCTAGATGTTAGTAAAAGTGTTTACTCCTGTCGTTAATTTGAATTGAAAATGATCTGGAAATTTAGATAGGCTTGCTTCATTGTACCCTTTATCTGACTAATTAGTCTTGCAATCTTAACCCCATTTTTTAAAATTGTTACTCCTATTCCATGCACGATGGCTGTGCCATCTGGGAGCAGTATTTACCTTATTTATTTTGAATTGTGGTTGAATTTTCAACAATGATATGAGAAAGACTCACGCGTCCACTAAATTTCATAGGCTTATTTTCCAAAAGGTACTGATGAGATATAATAGAGGTCTAAACTTCTGTCCATTCCAGATGAGGATAGCTTTAATAGAGATATGGGGCTTGTTCATATAATTGTGGGGAAATTATACTGCCAATCCTTCATTGCCTTTGGACAAAATACGGTGAATGTCACTTTTATATTAGATCTACTTGTTGTCTTAATAACCTATTTACAAACGGGATATGTCTTAAAATTTGAGTTTGCATTACTATACAAAATAAGATTTGCATATATGCATACTTGATAGACAAGGGAAGGACACTACAATAAAACTTAATTTACATAATAAATTGCTTCATCTAAAAAACTGCAAATTAGCAAGCGTAGTATTTCATATACAGTGCAATGCTTGAAAGAAATAGTGAAATAAGAAGGTATAATCCACATAATGACTAAGAACATGTATTCAGTAAATTTTTTGTGGAATGGGAAGAACCCTCAAATCGGTTTTGATATGATTTACAAGCGGGTTGCACAAAAGCTAAGTTATAATCGGCTCGTCAGGCAGAGGTATATCAAGGCGCATAACTTCAGGCCGAAGGAGCGGATCCAAGGGAGGAAACCGCTTATTAGGCAAGGCAAAATGATTAAAAATCACTCCCATGGCAGTTCGGAACAAATTCATTAAATGATATCGAAAGTGAAATATAAGTAATGGAGGGTAAATGAGCAGATATTTTATAGAATGATAAAAAAAGAGAATGTTCCAAGTGAAAAAGGTTGCATAAACGCCAAATAAAGGATTGGCTTGCTGCAGACAGAAGAGTAAATAGGGGTGGTAGTAATAAAATGAAGATAAATTAATATGGTTGTGGAAGAAGAAATTAAGAGAAAAATACATCAGATAACTACTTAAGATCGTTATAGTCAAAACATATTCAATAGTACATCCTTAAAAATAGGGACTGTTATTGGAGCTGGGTCCAACTAGCACATCAAATTTCATTAACCGGGAATTAAAAGCGTTATTTGAGTAATTTGTCCTGATGCTAACGGGTTTCACTTACAGTTTTGGCAAGGCTGGTCTATTTGATGAGCGGGTTGGGAGTTTATATCACAGTTTAAAGTCAATATTACCGAACTCATTTACGGTTGCAATGCTTTTAGTTTCGCTCTGTGGGCTCGGTTCACTGTCCCCCTCCTCGGTAGAAGAAAATCCAGGAGGCACGGCTCCTGGAGGCAAAGGTACACTCTGACCACGGCTTAGAAAGCTCGCTCGCTTCCGGGCTGCGTTACTTTTTTCTGCATACCTTGCTGGTACTTCTTCCACAGACTGGTTCCAAGTTTGTGAAACTTGAGCTTGCAAACTTAAGCATTGGGATGACTTTACCGCTTCACTTTCCCTTCTATCTGCCTCTGTGTAATCCTCCATGTCCATCTCTCTTTCGTATTCCTCCATCTGATCAACTGATGTAAGCACCATTGAATTGCTCTCAGCTGTACTAAGTGAGAAGCGAAACCAGGGATCCGGCCCTACTTCACTAAGACAATTTGAAGCTAAATCCAAATGACATGGAGTAGTAGTTACTTCATAGGAGCATTTTTCCACACTCGTAGCTGGTGAATATAAGCTCTTACCTGTCTGTATCAAGATATCCTCACTTCTGCATTTTTCTTCGGTTTCTACTTCACTCTCAGTTCCTTCATTAATCCACTTTGGTCTAGATTGCTCGAGATCAAGGTAAGAGGTGTGATCTCGTGATATAGTGATCGGCTCAGAATCCTGCTTAATAATGGAAGGAGAGCAGGAAGCAAAGTGATTCGGTTGACTCTGGCTTTCAGTTTTATCTTGGTCGACATCTGCCTGTTGAATTGCTTCTTTGGCTTGAGACTCCGAGTATTCGCTCATATTTTGCAGTTTCTCTCTTTTCTCCTTGTCTTCCTCAATAAGCGTAGCACGTTGCCACCTTGGTATGCTAATGCTGGACTCAGAACGGGAAGCGAGACAATGGGATTCTGGTAGAACAATTCGGTACTCTGGATTCATATTTCTTACCCGATTTTCACCAGTACATACGAGCATATGATTACCGCAGTGATGCAAGTGGGCTGGAGTGACAAATGGAGTTTTCAAACTACGTAGAGCATTAAGGCTTGCATAGCCTGGAGAAAAATGAAGGAAGGGAGGTCGCACAGGGCAAATGTGAGAGCCTGTAACTGTCCAGTCGGTGGTACCGCTGATTACGGGCGATGGACCTGTGTTTTGCTTGCTGGTGGTTTGTGAGAGACTTTCAGAATGAGAGTTTTCGGGTATTATGACAGTCTCTCTTCGGATTACACTTGCTTCTTCCCCGGCTTTAACTGTTAAGGCAGTATCAGGAACACTTCTGCTACTTGATGGATTAATGAAAGAAACTGTGCCAGAAGTGCCAGTATTAGCATTCTTGTTGATGTTTTGGAGCGGATATTGCGAAGCTCCACCCATTTTAATCACTGGCTGATCAGAAGAGTTTTCATCGGATTGGCCCTGTTTGTCTTGCATGTTCATAGATTGTTTATAATCTGATATTCGCTCAGAATGGTGCAGTGAAGAATTAAGTTGCTGAATAGCCAGGTACTGCTGGAATAGAGTGGATTGAAGTAAGCTAGGAAGAGCTGTCAATTGTTCCTAGATTAAAAACAAACAAAAAGTACGCAAATTAAATTGATGAAAAGTTTTCTATGTATAACAGACTTGCAATTCTGATATATGTAGCTTAAGTCAATTAAGTTATATCAAATGTTTTCACAGGAAAAAGGAAAGAAAATTCCTAATCTTTTTTTTCAGTACAATTTCGAGATTACCATTAAATCAGTTTATATGAGATGTACTCACCCAATTTCGTTTAAGGTGATGAAGGACTGGTAGTATAATTCTCCCACAATGATATGAGTAGAGCGAACGTTTCCATTGGATTTCACATAGCCTTGCTTTCCCAAAAGTTGTTCTCATCCAGGTTGGACTGCAGTTTCGATCTCGCCTTAGTCTTATCAACACCCTAAGCGGGAGTCGAACTGTGACAGTGCAGATGTGAACTTGAAACGTTAACCACTCGGCCATACTGTCACAAGTGCCCTTGTGGCCGAGTGGTTAACGTGTCAAGCTAACGTCCTGCACTGTCACTGTTTGAATCCTGCTGGGGTAGCTGATAAGACCTATGCGAGATCGAAACTACAGTCCACTCCTGCAAGGATTAGAAAAACTTTTGGGAAAGCAAGGCTATGTGAAATTCGATGGAAAACTCAGCTCTACTTATATCATTTTTGGAAAATTCTACTCCCAGTTCTTCATCACCTTAAACGAAATAGAGCGAATACATCTCATATTCCTAATATTTTTTTTAATTTTGCATAGACAGAAAGAGACAAAATATTTTAATAAATTCTAGCATCTGCCAGACATATTTTCAAATTTTCTGGAAGCCAATCTCTAAAAGAATATCCTACAAGAGGTTATATGCATTTCAAAATTCTGAGCTTATTCACGATATTAGCTTAATAAACAAAGAATATGTGATGTATTCACCCAATTTCGTTTAAGGTGATGAAGGATTGGTAGAAGAAGAATTTTCCCACAATGATATGAGTTGAGTTGACGTTTCCAATGAATTTCACATAGCCTTGCTTTACAAAAAGTTGTTCTTATCCAGGGCAGACTGCAGTTTTGACCTCGTATCGGTCTTATCAACATCCTCAGCGGGAGTCGAACAGCGACAGTGAAGGAC